AGATGGATCGATGTCGTAGCAGAAGGCTACAGCAACGATTGCCGAGAGAAGGAACAACTTCATTACCTGAAAGTATGAGACTCTAAAATTGAGCAACTTTAAAATTCATTCGGTTTTGAAATTCCGAAAAGTGTTTCTAAAAACGTATATCGCTTTGTTGAAGTGATCATATAATTAAGAAGGTAAAAGAAAATGTGATATGAGCACAATGAAATCTAGCGCCCTTATATAGTATGCCATAAGCGGAATTTCAGTTTTGCGCAAGTCTCCTTCCTATTAACCTTGACTAAATAAACTAAGTTTTAGTTGATAAGTTATTTAGGGCAGCCTCCAAAATTATTGTTCCGAACGACTGAAACTTCATTCGGGAACTGTTTATTTAACCCAATAGTCAAGCTTTACAGTATCCTATTATGTTTAGTATCGTATGATTGACAACTAGTTCAGTTATTTTACTTGATGGCCATTCGTATCAAGGTGAGTTACAGGAACAACAGACCCTTTTTTTTCGCTAACTCAATCAATTCTTCTGTCTCTTAAATTGAGAAAAAGTGACAATTGTGGAAAATTTCAACTTTGAGTTCCCCTCTCTGATTTTCATTATACTGGATAATTCGATTCAGCAAAGGATTGTTATAGCTCCAGTTCATCAAGAACTAAAACTGTTCCACCATTTCACATGCTTGTTTTGAAAGAATAAGTGTGAAACTTCACAGGATGAATGAATTGAAAATCCATATTGTTCCAGAGCAATCGAGAGTTACTCAAGTTCTGATTAATAATTATGACATTTATTTTCATAACAGTAAATCAAAACAAGTTTAATACTTCTGATAACAACACCAAAGCTGCTTCTGTATTCTATCTTGGGTATTACGGTATACTGAAATCAGCGAAAGTGTACTTGGTTTTTCAATAAAGCCATGACTTTCCAAGACACCTGAACCAAGTTGTAAATAACTGTAATCTTGATGATAGAATAATTCCCTCCTTGATTCCATTTTGTCTTTCATTGAAAACGTTTTGTGAGGTTTTGAACTAGAATTAACAAAGTTCCAAAACCGGGTAGGCTCATTCTTCTTAGATATTTATAGAGTTAGTACGCTCCTGAGCTTTCACTCAAAGAACTAGAAAACAGGAGAAGTTTTCAACTCCTCGCTTTTCATAAAACCTTGAGAGACATTTCTACTAGGTCTTCAATCACAAAATTCAAAAATATTAAATATTTCAATTATTAAAATTTATTATATAACCCATACAACCAATTTCTTTAAAACTGTGTGAAGTTAATCTAGGCGCGACGGCGGTAAGATTGCTCTGGTTCTGGTTCAGGCTTGGTGTACTTGACTGGCATAACAGCTGGCTTCATCTTACTATCATAGCTGTAATGAATTAAAACAATAATGTCAATTCAAAAAGTTATCCTACCTGGCCCCTGAGTTACCACCTCCGTTGTTATTAGTTTGTCCAACATTAATAGTGTTCTGATTGGTATTCAAGTTAAGTTGATCTCCACCTTTCTGGACACTAGATTGTCCTTGAGCATTGTTTTGGGCGAGATCCTTGGTATTTACGAGATTTCCAGCGAAGATATTCTGGGGGAAGTACTGTCCAGCGTATCCGGATCCCATAGCTCCGTAACCAGTTGGTCTGTAAGCATCATACTGAGGTCCTTTACCACCTCCATTGTTGTTGGTTTGTCCGATATTGACAGTATTTGTGTTTTGCCCAACGTTGGTTTGAGCTCCTCCAACTTGGGTGTTAGATTGTCCTTGTTGGTTGTTTTGGTTCATCATTTGGCTCCAGATGTCATTGTTACCAAAGTAGTTTTGTGGTTGGTTTTTCAAGAGGAGGTACCCAACTGGAGCATCGTATTGTGGTGCTGGGTATCCTGATCCCTTTCCTCCTCCGTTCTGGTTGGTCTGGCCAATGTTGATGGCATTGGNCTGGTTGGTCTGGCCAATGTTGATGGCATTGGCGTTGGATCCAACGTTAGTTTGTTCACCTCCAACTTGAACGCTGGATTGTCCCTGGTTGTTAGTTTGTCCTAAGTTTTGCATGTTGAAAAGATTGTTCTTGATGACATCTCCAGCTCCAGCTCCTCCGTAGCTTGGAACTTGTGGGACATAGGTGTTTGGTTGTGGGTAGCTTGGCGCGTATTTAGAGTCATATTGTGGGGCACCATATCCAGAACCTTGTCCACCATTGTTGTTAGTTTGTCCGATGTTGATGTTGTTTGTGTTTTGTCCAACATTGGTTTGAGCTCCTCCTTGTTGAACGCTGGATTGTCCTTGGTTGTTTCCTTGAGCTAATCCAGTATAATCAA